TTAATTTTTATTAATTTTTATTAATTTTTATTAATTTTATTAATTTTTATTAATTTTTATTAATTTTTATTAATTTTTATTAATTTTTATTAATTTTTATTAATTTTTATTAATTTTTATTAATTTTTATTAATTTTTATTAATTTTTATTAATTTTTATTAATTTTTATTAATTTTTATTAATTTTTATTAATTTTTATTAATTTTTATTAATTTTTATTAATTTTTATTAATTTTTATTAATTTTTATTAATTTTTAATAATTTTTATTAATTTTTATTAATTTTTATTAATTTTTATTAATTTTTATTAATTTTTATTAATTTTTATTAATTTTTATTAATTTTTATTAATTTTTATTAATTTTTATTAATTTTTATTAATTTTTATTAATTTTATTAATTTTTAATTTTTATTAATTTTTATTAATTTTATTAATTTTTATTAATTTTTATTAATTTTTATTAATTTTTATTAATTTTTATTAATTTTTATTAATTTTTATTAATTTTTATTAATTTTTATTAATTTTTATTAATTTTTATTAATTTTTATTAATTTTTATTAATTTTTATTAATTTCTATTAATTTTTATTAATTTTTATTAATTTTTATTAATTTTTATTAATTTTTATTAATTTTTAATAATTTTTATTAATTTTTATTAATTTTTATTAATTTTTATTAATTTTTATTAATTTTTATTAATTTTTATTAATTTTTATTAATTTTTATTAATTTTTATTAATTTTTATTAATTTTTATTAATTTTTATTAATTTTTATTAATTTTTATTAATTTTTATTAATTTTTATTAATTTTTATTAATTTTTATTAATTTTTATTAATTTTTATTAATTTTTATTAATTTTTATTAATTTTTATTAATTTTTATTAATTTTTATTAATTTTTATTAATTTTTATTAATTTTTATTAATTTTTATTAATTTTTATTAATTTTTATTAATTTTTATTAATTTTTATTAATTTTTATTAATTTTTATTAATTTTTATTAATTTTTATTAATTTTTATTAATTTTTATTAATTTTTATTAATTTTTATTAATTTTTATTAATTTTTATTAATTTTTATTAATTTTTATTAATTTTTATTAATTTTTATTAATTTTTATTAATTTTTATTAATTTTTATTAATTTTTATTAATTTTTATTAATTTTTATTAATTTTTATTAATTTTTATTAATTTTTATTAATTTTTATTAATTTTTATTAATTTTTATTAATTTTTATTAATTTTTATTAATTTTTATTAATTTTTATTAATTTTTATTAATTTTTATTAATTTTTATTAATTTTTATTAATTTTTATTAATTTTTATTAATTTTTATTAATTTTTATTAATTTTTATTAATTTTTATTAATTTTTATTAATTTTTATTAATTTTTATTATTTTTATTAATTTTTATTAATTTTTATTAATTTTTATTAATTTTTATTAATTTTTATTAATTTTTATTAATTTTTATTAATTTTTATTAATTTTTATTAATTTTTAATAATTTTTATTAATTTTTATTAATTTTTATTAATTTTTATTAATTTTTATTAATTTTTATTAATTTTTATAATTTTTATTAATTTTTATTAATTTTTATTAATTTTTATTAATTTTTATTAATTTTTATTAATTTTTATTAATTTTTATTAATTTTTATTAATTTTTATTAATTTTTTTAATTTTTATTAATTTTATTTATTTTGATTTATTATTTATATTTATTTAATATTTTATTTATTTTTATTTATTTATTCCCCCTCCCTCTCCTTAAAATATGAAAATCAAAAAACCTTTAAATACGTCATTATATGAGTAGCTACAATTCCAACTTTCAAGTTCCCACCTTTAAAAAAACGATACTTTCATCCCTCTTCCCCCTTCTCCATGTTTTTTCACTTTCCTATTTTCCCCCTTTCCCTATTTCCTCTATTTCCCCCTTTCTCCAAACTTTCGCATTTATGTCGTAGTAGGGTTTTTGTGATACTTCCCATGCCCCCTCCTTTAAATGCGAAAATCCAAAAATCTTGAAATACGTCATTATTTACATTTATGAGTAGCTGCAATTCCAATTTTCAAGTTCCTATATTTAAACAGGCGAAAGTCTTCACCTTACACCGTCATCTATTAGGAATTCATAGAACTAACCAATAAATACACAATATTTAGGCATCCCATACAAATGAAACGCGATGCTAACGTTTGGTATGTTTAAAGGGTTGCGACATACGATGTAGTCTATCTGCATTATATGAAATCATAAATAATGGATGAAATTTAAATATTTTATGTTGAACACAATGAAAATATTATTTTTAAAAAAACCGCTTATACATTTTCTATAAATTGGCAGGCTCGGCGACTATTATTTCAAATAAAATAGCGTCCAAGATGGAAGGCTATGTCGCAACCCCTTTAAATTTACTAACCCTAATTGTCGTATAATAAACATTTAATTTGCAATAACAAATATTGAGGTCAATAATTGAGATAAAAACTATCCTATCTTTTAGATTGGACCAAATTACAGAGAGTTACCAAATTTTATCAAAATTCGTTCAGTAGTTTCGGAGTTTATCGTGAACATACATCGTGACACGAAATTTTTATATAGTATAAATAATGTTGAGAATATCTTAGGAACATTCATTTAAAAGTGAATGTTTAATTTAATAAAACAGCAGGCACAATGCACGCTTGAGCTCTTCATTGTAATATAAAAAACCTGATAGTAGGGTGTTTCCATTGATAGCACCACCGTCTTCCTATCCAGATAAAGAACCATCCATGTAAGTAAGCCAGGTAGTAAATAAAACACCGTTCTTGTCAACCGATGTCCCCACGATTGAGTCTACGTTGATCTCCGGAGTGTAAACCCTCCGGTAACAAAAAACCTTAAAATATTACAAAATGTGTCAATATAAATTGACTCAAATTTCCCAAACTATACAATTAATTTTCCCAAAATGTACCTAAGCTAGATACTATTAACAAGAGTCATAAACAGTATTATGAACTCAAATAATTAAAATTCTAATACACCAAGCCATAACATAACAGAAATAGACAATCGAACGATGTACAATATTACCAAAAATATACAGAACATACCTTTCTCGTAAAGGGTTAAACTGGTAGCCTTCCAAGAGTGAAAAACAAGCGAGACAGTCCGCAGTAGTCCCTATTGAAGATTCCACTTCATTATTACTTCCTCGTATGCCGATGGACCACCCTGTATGAAACAACGAATGAATAACTTAAAATCTATTGAAATTATTCATACTCACAATTTTTTTGTTTATAAATTCCCTTTAGTGGGTGTGGAATGGGTCAAAAAAAAAAAACATGGGAATTTAACCAAACAACGAAATTCCCCAAAAATATCATTTACCCGTTCTTCCTCAATTAATATTGGAGTAAAATCTAGAATCCCATTTAATAGGATAACTCAATGGTTAAATAAAATACGGATTTTATCCCTAGACAAAATATGAGATTATTTGCCTTTCTTCACCTGTCAGACACACCTAACCAACAAAATCTCCCACGATGTCGCCCCATAGAAAAATATGTCGCCCTTTCCGCTTGAGTAATGACAAGTCGAGTAGGTTCAGAAATTCATCATTAAGAGGAAAAACACTAGATTACTAGTAGGTCTACTAAAACGGACAATGTATGCTCAACAAACATGTATAGCATCGCCTTGGTAGAAGGGACTTTGTGCCGATATAGTAATAAACAGCAGGAAACTGCTGTACATCTGTTGTGCTACTGCAAAGGTCTATTAACACAGAGATTCCTTACATTCAAAGAAGAAAACAAAGAACACGTCGAAAAGCTACTTCTTGGAGTGTAAAACAAAAGACCAAACTAGACAAAGTATCATAACCAATGATTAAAGGATATCCACAATAGATTTGAAAAAGTCGAGATGGAAATGGGTACATGGCTCACAGACCAAACTAAACATATCTAATTTACTTTTATCCAACTCATGACATCAATTTATAGCCCAAGAGCCCACTGCAAATTTTTACCGTCATCTGATAACGAAATGAAATATACACCAAAAACATGGAAAAACATTGTACTTTACCAAATGGCACCTGTGCCAATCCCAATCCTGAGCAAAGTGGCTTAAAAAAATTATTTTATATTAAAAAAATTATATAAGGCATGACAGCCCTAATTTTGTTTGCCCTTAAAGTTTTCCAGAAAATAACATTCAAATATATCTTGATATATATCGTTAAAGAGAAATATTTTATTCCTCTTAACATCGCACAAAAACATCCATCCACGATTAGTAGGTAAAAATCATTTAAAATTATGAATCAATGTTTGCTGATTTAAAAATTTATTTGTATGCCTATTGTTGTGATTCATTTTTACAGGTTGCCATAGAAACGACAAAAAAACTACTATGATTATGGTTTAAAATAATTGTCTAACAAGAGTTTATAATTATTATTGACTATCTCTGCAAATGGTTTATACAATGCCAACCTTCTTCCTTTCATACATAAACATGGTTTAAAAGGTAGGTAAAAATATTGATAATTCAGGTTTAAAAGCTGGGTTCACAATGAATTAGGATTGTAATTTTCAGGGAAAACACAATTGTCGTTGTCATGTCTTATGTGGTTTTTTTGAATATAAAATAATTGTTTTTAACCACTTTGCTCAGGATAGGGATTGGCACAGGTGCAATTTGGTAAAGTACAATGTTGTTACATGCCTTTGGAGCATATTTCATTTCGTTATCAGATGACGGTCGAAATTTGCAGTGGGCTCTCATACTATTAGTCAAGTAGGATAATAGGTATCATTGAAGACTCTGTAACTAGGCAACTATTTATCTGCTTAAACTAATGTTATTGGGAATCAGAAAAAATATAAACTTTCCTAATAATTACTAAAACAACCTATACTTTAAACTAAACTAATGAATATTTATTTAATATGGACCATTTTTCTTTCAGAATCCGGTTGCACATTGGTTGGTCAGATGCGTTTCATCATAAAAGAAAATTTTGTAATGTATGCAGGAAAAGATTGGATGACAGCGAATCCATCCATTGTGAAAGTAAGTAGTAAATTTCTTCCAAAAACTTTTTATCTTAAATGCTTAAAATCTAAAAGATACTTTCTAAATTCATCGAATTGATTTAAACATGGCGGGATATTTTACAAATTTATTAACGTCATATGTGGGTAATGTGAATTTGACAGGAAATAAGGTCCTTTAAATCTTACAATATTATTGTGACCGGTACGGAAGTTTTACATTAACTTCATCTTCAGACAATCTATGAATTCATATTTTAGGACTTCTACATTGTTACCTTTTATAGTATGTATCCTGCCTCATAGATGAGGTATATATTTTTGTAATCTAAGTTCTATTTTCTAATTTAAATTCCAAAATAGCAGTTGTTCTCATCATAATATTTTTTTATTGTCATTAAAAATGTGTATGTGTATTGTTCAATGTATTTTTTAGACATTTAATTTGGATGAAACTGTTTTAAAAATCTGAGTCCGCAGGTTTCTTATTTCTTACGTCGTATTGATATTAATTAGAATTGAATTTATTACATTTTATTTTCGAATTCATCCTCGGGCTGATCGTTTAAAACTATTGAAATAATGTCTTTCTTTTTTCAGTATGCGAATATTTCGTACACGTGGAATGTCAGGATTTTGCAGTGGCAGACTGCAAGGAAAACGCGACTTATCTTCCGGGGAAACAACTCGTCTTCGTGCACCACCAACACCACTGGCGGGAAGGAAATCTTCCGAGCAATTCCAAGTGCGCTCTTTGCAAGAAAACCTGTTGGACTACCGAGTGCTTGTCTGGTTATAGATGTGAATGGTGTGGAATGACGGTAAGTTTAGATATTCAATTATTTATGAAATCAATATCTCCAAAACAAAATTCATCTTGCAGTCGTCCTTAACTTTTTTCCCTGGGCTCGTCTAACTTAGTCTCCAACAACGCTGAAGTCCCATAATGGCCCATTGTATTTATTCATTCTTAACTCCCTGTATATAATTGTTTCCAATTATGTTATTTTTGTTATCCAACTCTACTTTATTTTCCCGTAATTATTGACGTTTCTATCTTTAATTATTTAAAAATGTTATATCTAAATGATCATTAAACATATTGCTATCCCAGAAATTTTCGTGGGTTTGTAATTTAGCATGAGTTCATTGATACTGTACTGTAAATGGTTAAACTACAGACCAAACTATAATTGACATGTCATTTTGAGTACCATACCATAATCAGTTGGTTCTTGATTCTTCAACGGATTCTAAGATGATATAATATTCAACCAGAAAACTTTCAATGAAAGTATCCATTACAAGTCTAGGCAGGTCACGAACTTTTTTCTAGACTATTTTTAGGGTTCCGTACCCGAAGGGTAACTAGCGGGAGGGAATGTCCACAGGAAGGGGTGGTCACCTCTACTGTGGAACATGGTCCTCGACACCCGCATCAGCCGCCTCAATAATGACAGTCACTACACAATAGCATATGCAGATGACCTGGTCATTCTGCAAACAGGGAATTTTGAGAACATACTTTGCGAAAGAATGCAAGTAGCTCTCAAAATTATAGAACAGTAGTGTAAGGACCATTCACTGTCTATCAATCCTAAGAGAACTGAAATGATCCTTTTTACAAAGGAAAGGATGAAAATGGAATTAAAACTTCCAGAACTCCTAAATACAAAACTAAACTTTGCAACAGAGGTGAAGTACTTAGATCTCACCTTTGACAGCAAGTTAACATCGAACTTATATTTAGAAAACAGAGTCAAAAGAGCATACATTGCTTATGAACAATGCCGCCGAACCGTGGGGCGCACCTGGGGTTTCTCCCCCAGAGTCGTCACATGGACTTACACGGCTATCATAAGACCTATGCTAACATACGATGCGGTTGTCTGGGTACCAAAAACTCAAAAATTAACAGCTATCCGTAAACTAGAACAAATTCAAAGAACAGCATGTCTCAACATAACAGGATCCATGAAAACAACACCGACCAGTCATGGAAGTCATTCTTAGTCTCACTCCCCTTGATATTTACATCAAGGAGGTTGCTCTGACGACAATAACACGCCTCCGCACGGTTAAAATAGAACCTGATGTAGGATCTGTTGAGGCGAGACGTAGCTTTTGGCAGGAGGCGCTCGATACGCTCCCACTGCTTCAAGCGAACATGGACTCCATTTCACCGAGATATATCTTCCAAGGGCCATATAAAGTTGTAACAGAACAAATAGAAGAGCCGGAAGTGGCAGGTACGATTCATATCTACACCGACAGTTCTAAAAAAAACAAGGCTCAGAATGTGGAATATACTCACATTCCCTTGTGAGATTCAAGGAAAGATGGGATGAAATAAGAAACTGCAGAGTTGCCAGGGAGCTTTTAAGTTATCCTGACAACGACAGAATATGCGCCTAGTCACAGGCATTCTGACTGGTCATTGCCAAGTACGGAAGCATCTCCATATCAGCGGGCTGTCAAAATCCGCACTGTGCAGAGGGTGCGAACAACAAGATGAGACCATCGAGCATATCCTCTACGATTGCTCGACGCTCTCATTTATTAGGAGATTTGTGTTCGGCAAATATCGGCTAACACCGGCCGATATACGAGAAGCACCTCTTGGCGACATTGTCAAGTACATTAAATCTGTAGACTGGCTCACGAGCTAGGAGGTGCTTATCGTCTTAGGAGGATGTACAATGGGCCTAATGAGGCCTAAGTGCCGTGGGGGTAACCCACCCTCCCACGTTACAGATACAGATGATCAGTAATAGGCAGACAGTTAAAATGTTCACAAAATGTGTATTTTTTTGCTGCTATAACAACAAATAATAAAAATAAATTAAAAATTAAAGGGGGATCGCCTACTAGAAACGTGTTTTTTTTTTGGCTTTTTTGCTCGATTCTAATAAAGTATTTAAAAAGTACCTACATAGTATTAAATCTTGTACGATGGTGCGGAGCCTTTCATGCGCGGGTCCGACTCGCACTTTTTTCGCCGGTTTTTTCTACATCTACCATTAGTAACCAATGTAGAGTAATTGTTCACGTATCAGCTGGAGGTCGGCTTAATCAATTAGGTACGCTGTCTTATGAGCGATGTTTGTATTTGTAAGAACAAAGATGTTGAATGGTATACTTTCCTTGCCTATTTTACCGGTACTTAAGCATTTACTATTTACTGCAAAACTGTAGTTTCATGACGTGCTTTGCATGTAGCAGTGATGGTCTCCTTTTTAAAGGCTCTGTAGATTCCTTTGCCTAAGAGTCTCTGTCTTTACTTACTTAATCTTCAACAGAATCTTCACCATCTGCTAAAATTTTCTTCTTTTCTTCCTATTCTTTTGTAAGATGGTTTCAACTTCTTCTATTTACTTTTGCGAACGTTTTTACTTTTGTTTTTCTAATGGCTTCCTTCTTGGTTACACCATTAGTGAAATTCTATCATAGTGTTATACAAATTAACATTTTGAATGCTTCTGTCAGGTTTATTTTCCATACATTTCCTCAAGCCGCATTAAATATTTCGTTTTTTTCAGTGTCACGCAGCGTGTCATACGAGTATTAACAATGAGTGTACATTTGGCATCTTGGAACCCATCTATCTGCCACCGCATGCCGTCAGCATACCTAGAACAGAAGTACCCATGGAAGCTATCATCGGAGTCCAAGTGAGAAGAAAGGATACTCTGTCCCGTGAGTATTATCCAGAAACATTTACTAATTTGCAGTGTATTGTTTATTTATTATATCACAACGTACACACAAAAAATTAAAACCTCATCATTGGGGTCTAAGGTAAAAGGAAGTTTGTTAATTTGGGACTTTAATGTTTGGACATTGATACGATATTAGAAACAATTTTATTGGAATTACTTTCCACACAGCCCATAATTCTTGGAAACGATTGTAACATGGAATATTGTGAATTCTTCGGAATGTCTAGGTAATAAAAATTGAACACAAACAACTAGATAGTTAAGAGGTTCTAGGGAAGTTCATTTGTGGTATTATTCTAGTAATACCCATGATTTAGGAAGAAAGAAGCTTTTCCTTTGATACTTTTTCAGATACGAAAATTATTATAGTGTTTAGAAAACGATATCATTAGGTACAATGAATCTATTTTTTAATGCATCTGTAGCTCCTAGAAGTCTTCAAGCAAGGCAAATACAGTTTGTATTAAAGATTTATAAAGTTTTGGTAAACTCCAAAAGCTCTTGGGTCACAGTAATTACAAAGTCTACACACTCTAGAAATAAAATGACACTTGTATTGGTCGGTTCTTAATCTGAATCAAAAGCTAGCATGTCTCAACGTAAATATAGATTTTAAAATAACATAAAGCAGAGCAATGAAAATGATCCTTAGCCTCGCGACTTAAAAACGGTTATTATAGAACCTGATGTAGAATCTGAAAAACTAGGAGCCAATGTCTATAGTATCACAGCTTTATGCACACACAGAGTTTCTCTGCTCAAATTCTGGAATGGAATAGAAATCCTCTACGCATTCTTATGGAATTGATACTGTTAGCTAAGAAACTACATGAAAAGGATTGATAATTAGCAGCGTAGAAGATGAATCGTTCTAGTAAGAACGAGCCGAATTCTAATTCATCCAACTTAAGCTTACATACTTCAAACAAGTCTCAAATACTATAATTGAGCCACAATAGATCCAATATGCGGTCACAGTGAAAGGATGTTATTGTCCCACTCATATTCAATCCAAGTTAACCTCACCTAGGAGAACTGTACAAAAACACAATGTATGAAAATTAGGCAAGTTTTTTTAACATGCGATATGTACATAAGCTTGTTTTAGTTTTTGTTTTGCGATCATTTGTTCAAACACCTTTTACTGCTTAATTTTGTTTTTTAATTTTTTATTTTAAGATATAAAGGGAATGATTTTGCAGTCATCAGTTTGGATACTGTAAGGAGGAGTGCTTCTTTGTCGAGTGTTTTGAAGCGCCTTTACGTCGTATTGCCGAACTCTTGCCAAAGTATTAGCCAGTCCCAAATGTCACCTCCTTATGTTCGAGGTATTTTTTTTGTCGAGTTTTATTTTTTTTGCACTATGTGGTGTGGAGTGCTGTGCGCATTGTTTTGCATTTGTTTTTATTTTGCTTCGAACTAACACGAATAAAACAGCTTTTCTTCGTCTGTCGTTAACAACTGGTATGCAGGTATTAATTATTATGGATATAAATAAATATAAAATATTTTAGATAGTAAATTGATAGGTTGTGCCATTACTACGAGTTGAATACTATTTTTTTACAACAGGTCCCAATTTATGCCACGTATTTCTTATGGATAATAACAATAAAATTCATATCGACCAGTCATTTAAATTATTAAGTTTTAATTTATTCACACTTTGGCTAAGTCGGTTTAGAGAATGTATTTACTAGTTAAAAGTGAATACTTTCATTATAATTTTTTTTATTAGTATTGTTAGAGGTACTTTTTCTTTTCCTGGCTAGTTAAATAATTTAAACATTTTCATCATATTTTTTTACACTTATATATCCAAGTCTTAAATCCTAATTCCATGCGAACACTAACATAATTTTTACCAAAAATTAATGGCATTTAATTTTTATAGCACGGAGTACATCGGAGGAATTTAGCAGCGGCGATGCTGGTCGATATAGGGATTCAGAAGATTACGCACAAACACACGCACCAACTCGGGATAGCCGGCAAGATAAGCAGAATAAAAACCAAGAAGAAAGAGATGAAGGTATGTTCGAATATTTCCTAAATTATCCTTTTTCTCAAAAATCTATTAAGCGAATAATGCATACAGAATTGCCAACTATCAATTTTTAAATGACAAAAGTCGATCGTTTCAATATAGCGAACTGTAACAACTGATATATGAAAGCTGTCACCTAATTGTGCACAAGTGGTATAAGAACCACCGCTTTTACCGAATATAGTACAAAAGATTGTCTGAACCACTCCTGTTACAAATTGTGATAACTGGACGTAGTGATTCCCCTTTAATTATATCATTTATTGTATTACTATGGGTAAGGTGGCGCTGCCACTAGCCCCAGATTCCTGAGAGTGCTGAAGGAATTTCTATTCAGCTGTGGCAAAATGAAAGAAGAAAATAAGAACCCTTATTGGTATAGTTGAGTAGTTTTAGCATTAGTAAAGACTATGATAGTCCTTAAGGATAGGCACACCAGAGCTTCATAAGTGCCAGGAGTATTTTTTGCTTAAATTGTCTATTTTAGACCAGGGGTTAAGTATTCCTTGAGTGTCTGCTGATGGTATACCTTTGCACTATACTTTTGCATTATTAGGACCCTTCTGACTCTTAAGTAGACCTTATATATTGACAGTAAAATTGGGTAAATTGGGATAAGTAGTCAAATCAGAGCCACCCTAACCATAGGGTCAAATGAGTTGTTGCCTCGGTGCGCAAGCCTTTTGGAGAGGCGATTTTTAATGATGTTATTTGATAAGTTATTTTTATTCAAAATCTACCATGAAAAAAATAATCAAATAACTTATTCCAAAATAAATAGAAAATATTATAAGTATATCTACATATTTAGTTTGGTAATAAATATGTGTGTTCTTAAAATTTCCCAGGCTAGGAAAATAAATATATAAGTTACTTTTGTTCAAATAGGTTTTCTTTCATTTTGTAAAAATTTTGTTTTTGTTTTGACACTTGCCGATGTATTTTCTAATGAACAGGGGCGCCGAATATCTTATGACGGCCTGGGTTAATAGAAAAACTGGGAATTCAATGTAATAACAAATAACTACAAAAATAGACATTGTCGAGATGAACAATTTGTATCTCTAGGATAATTAGTAAAATTAATTAGTTTACAGAGCCAAGGTTAGTCATTTCTTGGTAACAGGTTCAATTCATTGATTAACAATTTAGACGGCCATTAGCCCAGGTTATAGCGACGTCATTTATTGTTCATCCATTATGTCATTTTTCACTAAAGATGTGACATCAAAATGACGTCTAGCTCACTGCTTAGGGATGTCATTTGTGACGTTATTTTTACCTAATTATGACGATATTATGATGTCAATTTGTAACATTATTATGACGTCAAATTGAAACGTTACTATGACGTTAGTTATGACTATAGCTAAAAGAAGGCTCTATGGGGCTCATAGGAAATAATGTAACAGATAGATATAATATACACTCTTTATTATAAAATAATTACAAATGAAAAATTATTAAAACTAAACCTTAAACACCATGAATATTGGAAATAAAATTACAGAAGAAACAGAAAAAATAATTACTGCAATAAAAGCAAGTTCTTTATAGATAAATCAATTACTTTCCTGTTTTTTACATCCACTGTTTTCTTCGAGATGTTAACCATTTACAGTGCACTAAAGCCAGGCTGCCCTCATAGTCAACCGAAAATTGTTTTACTACTCATATCATGTATGCAATCATAAAAATATAACAATTTGTACTTATACTAAAATACATATACATAATATAAGAAATATCTTGCCTAATAACAATAAAACTATTTTAATAAGACTATAAGCTGCCACTTCTTTTGCAAGACACCGTTCGTGTTAACATAACCCAACGTTTTCTTCTTTTTTTCTTTGTTTTCTCTTATCTGGCAATCGCGCATCAGCGACCAGCTATCAAAATATAAATTTTACAATTTTCTCTTGAAGAGCGGCAAAAAATCGTTTCTGTCATTCTGGAAAAATAAATTCAACAACTATGTTGGCACTTTGTATTAAATTTAAAAATATATGAACAAATTATGAAGTATAAATGACGTAAATTACGTGGTATTGACGTCACATTTTTGACATCTCTTAGGTGATTTGACGTACGGGACTAATTATCACCAAAAAATGACGTCGCGATGACTTCAGTGTTTTATCTGCGTAACATTTTATATTTGATTTTGTTATAATTATTATCTTTTTTTTTGCAGAAATGATTAAAGTGTATGACGGCAACAACTCTTTCCGCAGAAAAATATTCAGGTTGATCGTAGTTCCGAGGCAGGCGCCACTCAAACAAGTTCTCACGCAAGCTCTTAGGGCATTCCACATTACAAAAGATCCAAATTCATTCCATCTAACTGACCTCTATTCTTCGGACGAAGCAGTCATGCAGGATCCAGCACCTGTATTGAGTCTGCACAGAAAGGAAGGAAAACGACCGGCAGTTTTTCTCAGATTTAAGTCAGTATATATGTGCAAAATATTTATTAAGTTTGATGTTGAATAAATTGGTGCGAAAATATAAGCAGCAATAGCAATTACTGGAAGGAACATGCTCATCTCATCTCAGAAAGCACTGTTATTACTAGAATGTCACTATGCATTGGCCGAAATATCCATTAACAATGTGGTCACCTTAAGGGGGAAGTAAAGTTTTTAAACTTTTTGCTTTTTTATATTTGATTTTGTGAATGGAGAACCTTTCAAAAATATTATGTGAAAATTTGAGATGAATCGGAGCAAAACTAACGAAAATACAGCAGTTTGAGTAACCGCGCCTCATATATGACTCAGAGCATCAGAAAATATCTGCCCGGCCCAAGCGCGCTATTGTTACCTGGCAGCAAGGGCGGGCTCCAGAAGGGGGGCTATGGGGGCCATGCCTCCCCCCTGAAATGAAAATTCTTACGATTTATGAGCCTTTTATTCAAAAAAATAAGCTAAAAATAAATGGCCCCCACCGAAAATTCGTCTCAGAGCCGCCCTTGCCTGGCAGCTGTTTCGCTCTCTATATAATCCCTAACCTTACCTTCTACCTTTCTTTATAGACATTTTAACAAAGTACAAACGTGTTTATACCTGTACTGTATATAATTTAGTGTAGCATTGGCCTGGCATGTTTACTAACTGTAAGGTCTTGTACCTTAATTTTACCTGGAATTAAAACAATCATCGAGATTAACACACTTTAATTCCTGTAAAGTACAGAACAACTGTGCAACAAAATACAGACTGACAAGACATGAAAATGACTGCTGTCAAAAGCGCTAAAACAAATACATGGTTGCCAGATTTCCAGCTAATACGTAACACTAACCTACATACAAGACATGGGAATCAGTAGTGGAGCAAGCGCTCCTTTATGGGCCTGGCATCGATAATTCAGTGTGAGATAAGCCGATAAAACTCGCTTACGAACGTTTTATTCCAAATTTTTTAGTGTTCAAAACTTTAAAGCGTTTTTCTCACAACTCACGTTTCCAAAGTCGGTGTCCCTCATAACTTGAAAACTACTGGACCTATCCTTTTAAAATTTTGAACATAATTTACGAGGTAACACTGGAGAGTTTTTTTAAATTTGTTAATATTTTATAAAAAATTTGCCTATTTTTTCGCAACAATCGCGTTTTTTACTTCAAAGTGTTCCCAAAAAGTGAAAAATTAAAATTTCGACAAACCCTCCCAGCGTTACCTGGGGAAAACGATTATATAACGAGAGAACTTTGCTGCAATTCTACTTTTTTCCGAGACGCTTCCGAATAATTGCTGCCATTTCCGTATCTTTTAATATTTCTACATGAAAATTTAACACAATATTTTTTGAATGTTATACTTTAATATACCATTAGTTTAAATAAACAGGTTTTAATTGGGTCTTCAAAAAAAAATCACAAAAATGTGCCTTTTTGCACGAATTAACCTTAACCCCCCCTTAAGACGGATCAAAGGTCACGTCATATCAAAAAGTGATGTTGCCTATTCACTAGCCAAGAAGGCAGCTAACCAAATACTTTTGACCCTTGCCTTTGATCCTTTTATTGAACATAAAACATTGGCCGTGACATACCTAATTAAAGAACATCCCCTTGTAAATTTCAAGGACAGGTGGGATGAAAAAATAAGCTACAGAGTTGCTGCTTTTAAGTTACCCGGACAACAATAGAGCAAACAAGTAATTGACTATGACTAGACATAACCTGCGCTTGATCTCAGGTATTCTAAATATTGTCACGTACGGAAGCACCTCTGTAGCATGGGGTTGTCAGACTCCGCGCACTCTGCAAAGGGTGCGAACAAGATGAGATTATCGAGCATATTCTCTATGAGCACATCCTCTATGATTGCACGACTCTCTCATCTACTAACTTTAACTGACTAGAAGCGGTGTGTTGTTCTCAAGAGAGAACATAGTTTTTACTTTGGGGGTTCAAAAATAGTATTCATTATTTCGTAGGGGTAATTTAAAAAAAAAATTGAGAATTTTTAAAGAATTTATCAACTTATTGAATATATCTTTAATTTAGCGACGTTAATATGTTGATCGCGATTTTGCAGGGATCGAGATAACGATGCTGGTGAAGTTCGCGTTTATCCAGGTAAATTACAAGTATCTCAGTCACTCTGCACCGTGCCTGTAGATTCCAATACAACTGTCGGAGATCTTATCGGCGAGGCGTTAAAACGTTTTGGTCTAGAGGACAGCAACGCCGAGGATTACCGATGCAGCGAGGTCCTCTTGGACAGGGGCGGTAAGTTTTTATTACCATTATACTTGCTAGGTCTAGCTTAAAACTTAACTAAGGCGTGATCCACAAAAAATGTTTCTAAAGTAGGCCATGACGACAAAGACAGATATAGGATTGATTACCGTGATAACTATAAGCGGCTGTAAGTAAAGGGGAAGCACTGATTCGGGGCCATTCCTTATGTAAATTAACATGGGAAATCGCTAAGGTTCATACTGGCAATTTTGACGGTGACGTCACACGTCGAGAATCATCAACTAACTTGTCGATCCACCAACGGGGGAGTGGGGGGGAAAACGGGGTAGTGGGGGAGTGGGGAATTAAATTTCGTTTAACGTCGAACAAAAAAAGCATGTGTAAAGCCAGAAGGGCCTTAGCGTATATCTCAGCTATCGTTGGTCCGATTCAAACGGGGTTATGTAGAGAACGTGGTATAGGATCTTGGACACCAATGCTTTTTAAATGGAAAACATGTAGTTCACTCTGGACAGTAGAGTGCTGGTGTGGACATTCAAGTAAAGATTGGACAAATATTGCTAATAATTTAAATGGGAGAAAGTTATTGGTAATAGGGTAAAGTCAACATTGGACAATGAAAATAAAATATAGTTTAATTCAAAATTATATTTTTAAAGTAACAGTATTAAGTATTTACAGTAACTCAATGAGTTTCAAAATTGTCTCTCTTTGAAGCTCAGCTTTTTTATTTAGGCCCAGATACATCACCTGTGCTGATGGACAAAAGCCACTTAGAAGGGATGGAGATAGTCTTAGGGGTACACCTCATTCTCATTACGATAGAAGAGTATTCAAACAAGATTGGTTACATTCCCGAGGAAAACAGTGTTGGTTAATACGCACAGAAATTTCAGAATTAGCATCTGAAGGTGTAAAAGACTTAGAAAACTACACATCCGAACACGAACTTCATGATAAATCCACATGTAGATGTGATAGAGGTGCCGAAGGAATAAGGCGGAGGGAAGAAGCTAACGAGAAACGGAGACAATTTTACAAAACAGAACGGGGAATTGAAATTAGGAATAATTACAAAGAAAAACAAATTAGGAAAAAGAAACTAATTACAAGTTTACTGAAAATGGGCCTAAATAAAAAAGCTGAGCTTCAAAGAGAGACAATTTTGAAACTCATTGAGTTACTGTAAATACTTATAGTCCAATTAAATAACGAAAAAAATCCCCTTCGAGCTTACATTAATTTATAATTGGATGAAACAAAGTGGACCTTGAGTATTTTGATGTGATCTTTCCGAAAAAAGAAGAAAAAAAAGATGTAGCTGTTTTTCAATTTTTTTTAAATTAGGAAAAACCGGGTTTTCCGGAATTTTTGATGCTAAAAATGCTAATTATCTGGACAAGTATCATTCTGATAGTAAAAATAAATGCACCAATCGAAAGAGGAGGCAAAAATAGTTCGGAAATTCATTGCACAGGTAGTTTTAATGGCGAATTTCTCGCCGCCAGAAGTGCTTTTACCAAAAAGTGTTTTCGTTTCTTTGATCAGAACAATAAACATGAAATTTGCGATGAATTTGTGGCGAAATTATAAATGTTAGACATATGTGCCCATGAGAGAATTTGCGTATTTTTTTGTTGGCTCGCAAATAAAATAAGTCTCGCGGCAAAAACTGCCATAATTTTTCGTGAATTCGCAGGAAACCGGAAGGCGTAGTTTTTTTTTTAATTTTTCCCATATGATTTTCTCCGGGTTTTCCGAAAACATCCTAACAAAAAATATATTTGAAAAACTAACTGCGCACAAAGAGCACAAAGATCACAAAAATACACAAAAAGGTATACTTTAAAAATGTTAGGAAATTAATTCTAAGCCTGAGTGTAAGTTCCAACTTGGTGATAAGCTTGTTTTTTGTTCTCTAACATCTGGTTTTCTTCTCGGTTGATGCTCCATCCTCCTTTTTTTGGGCATTGTCAATCCCGGCCCTTTTATGCCTATCCCAGGTTTTATAAATAAACTCTTTTCCGTAAGGTCGAGCTACGTAATGTTTGCGACATCTCTCATGCAATATAAAACCAGGTTCTAAAAAACTAAAAAAATTATCCCCCCTCTCTTTGCAGACCGTCTGCATACCTTTCAATCCTGTCGATCTAATTGGGGTAAGTTCACCCTCTGCAAGTGTCTGATGATATAATAAACACAGGCCAGCCATTGCAACCTGGAAACAAACAAATTATAGCACTGTGATAGAATTTTCTTAATTTAGGAACGTACTTACTCAATAAATTGCTGAAGAAGTCCAAAAAACCACGTGTACATAGAGCTTGCTGAACCCGGTTATTAAAAATCTATACCGATGAACACTATCAAGCGATTCAATTTGTAATAATATAACCGTTTGAAGTTTAAACTTGTCGGATAGCGAATGCGGGGACCATGGCTATCCTTGAGACGAAGTGCGGCTAATTTTGCGGTAATTCTATTTTTTGCACAAATATCAAGAAACGTCTTGTAACAAGTCAGTAAAATACAATTTAATAAATTTTAGGCCTAATAAATTTAAATATGTAAGAAATTTAAAACTGGAAATCACAAAAAAATCAAATTACAGAAATGCAGTATATATACGAGTTTTGGATCCCGCGGAGCGCGTGTAATGGGAATTTGTCGGGATAATTCTACAACTTAAAAGAAACATACACACTTTAAACTTTGTGTATACATTCAGAAAACATAAAATTTTGGTTTGCTCAATTTTCAGACCAAAAAACTAAAAATCGTCAATTTTAGGCAACTTTTCTCAAAAACCGTGTTTTTTGGTCGTCACTCAATGAATAATGGTCAAAAAAATAGATAAAATATTTTTGCAGAATTTTTCGCAATGTAATCGTATTCTAGACATAATAAAGTACTCAAAAAAAAAGTTTTGAGCCATTGGGTGCATTTTTGGCATTTTTGTGCCACTTCAAACTTTCGAAAAAAAAATTTAGTTTTTTTTTAGGGAAAAAAATTTGTTAAATTGTTTGATATCTTCGCCAATTATAATCCGATTTCGGTGAAATTCACACACTTTTAAGATTTTATATTCAAAAGTAAGCTCTGTAAGTGGCATTAAAAAAATTTAAATAGTTTGGCCGTTATAGGCAAACAATGAAATTAGGCCCGCGGTACACTTTGCCCTTTCGCCATATGCCCAATTTTGGGATTTCTTTTCCCCCCTTCTGGGAATCAATATTCACATCTCTTAAGTTCAAAACGCATTTTTGCTTTTTCAAATATCTTAATTTTTACCAAAGTTATGAAGAATTTAGTGTTTGAACATTTAACAAATTCAATTTTTCGACCTTCGCTGCCTCAAAATACTAAACAAATTTCAATCGTCCATACCGCGAGAACGGTGGATCGGATCAAAATTTCTCAAGAGACATGAAAATTAGCATTTTTCCTAAGCTTTCAAATGTCGTAAACTGCGTTTTGAAAATATTGATTTATTTCCGACATGCGCCTGCGCAAAATTGAAAAATTGACAAAATCCAAAATTTCGGCACTTTCGAAAAACTGCTACAATTTGTTTTGCCTTTTTTCGAAAAGATCACCTCAAAATACATAGAATCCATTTTGTTTCATCTAATTACAATTTAATGTAAGCTCAAAACCCGTAATTTAAGTCGATTATTAATACTGTTACTTTAAAAGTATAATTTTGAATTAAACTATATTTTATTTTCATTGTCCAATGTTGACTTTACCCTATTACCAATAACTTTCTCCCATTTAAATTATTAGCAATATTTGTCCAATCTTTACTTGAATGTCCACACCAGCACTCTACTGTCCAGAGTGAACTACATGTTTTCCATTTAAAAAGCATTGGTGTCCAAGATCCTATGATAATTTCAGCTAGATAACAGTTCAAGGTAAACATCAACAACAACGATCCGTTAATGCCCCTGTGTCTTTGATGGCAATTCTTTCGTTGGAACTGCCAGCTGGATGACAGTTCACGCCGAATGCCGTTTGTCCCATTCGAATCGGACCAATAGAAATAAAGATATAAGTTTTAGGCCCTTCTGGCATGTTTTTTCTCGTCAACGTTAATCGTTCTATACATAATTCCGTTTTTCCCGTTTGAATCGGACCACGTGAGACATGCTAAGGCCATTCTGGCTTTTTCGTTCTGCGCATGATTTTTGTGTTTGACGTTAATTGTTCTCTTCATAATACCGTTTCTCTCGTTTGAATCTGACCAATTATAACAAAGATATTAGTTTTAGGCCCTTTTGACCTGTCACTGCGAATAATTTTTCTATTTGACGTTAATCTATACCACGTTCTCTACATAATACCGTTTTTCCCGTTTGAATTGGACCAGTAATGTCCGAGAAACACGCTAAGGCCCTTGTGGCTTTTCATTCTACGCATGATTTTTCTGTTCGACGTTAATCAATACTGAGTTATCTTCATAATGCCGTTTTCTCGTTTGAATCGGACCAACAATAGCTGAGATATACGCTAAGGCCCTTCTGGCTTTTCATTCTGAGTAAAAATTCTATTCGACGTTAATCTATACCACGATCTCTACGTAATGCCGTTTGAATCGGACCAATAGCAGTGAAGATACGTGCTAAGGCCCTTGTGGCTTTTCATTCTACGCATGATTTTTCTATTCGACGTTAATCTATACCACGATCTCTACGTAATGTCGTTTTTCCCGTTTGAATCGGACCAATAGCAGTGAAGATACGTGCTAAGGCCCTTCTGGCTTTACACATGCTTTTTTTGTTCGACGTTAAACGAAATTTAATTCCCCACTCCCACTACCCCGTTTTCCCCCCACTCCCCCGTTGGTGGCTCGACAAGTTAGTTGATGATTCTCGACGTGTGACGTCACCGTCAAAATTGCCAGAATGAACCTTAGCGATTTCCCATGTTAAATTACATAAGGAATGGCCCCGAATCAGTGCTGCCCCTTTACTCTGAATGAAATCCAAACTGATAATAATTTTATTAAAAAGAAGAAAAATTGTTCGCTGGACATACATGAATTTATCCAAGATCTACTTTAGAAACATTTTTGTGAATCTCGCCTTAGTTTTGCATAACTTTTAAATAGAAAAGGACACTCTTAGGGGGTTATGATTGATAACCTGTTTTATTTTAAAAATATATTTTATGAACGCATATAGAAAAAACAACCTGTTCACATATAAGCTATCTGTTAAAAACATATTTCGTGTCCATCATAACCCTCTGATACTTAAAAGCACAATTAGGGAATAAAAGTAGTTCAGAAATAAATCTGACACCCCGAGAACAGAAAACATATCAGAGTACAATTTTTTTTTTTTTTTTGTTAGAAATTATAGGTATATATTATTGCGATAGAGTTATAATATTTTCTCAAACTATTAAACTTGCTGGGGGAATTAATGCGTATGACGTAACGTCACCTTCAAATTTAATTTAAATTTAAATCAATTTTAAATCAAATTTAAATCAAATTTTAATTAAATTTAAATCAAATTTAAATCAAATTTAAATCAAATTTAAATCAAATTTAAATCAAATTTAAATCAAATTTAAATCAAATTTAAATCAAATTTAAATAAAATTTAAATCAAATTTAAATCAAATTTAAATCAAATTTAAATCAAATTTAAATCAAATTTAAATCAAATTTAAATCAAATTTAAATCAAATTTAAATCAAATTTAAATCAAATTTAAATCAAATTTAAATCAAATTTAAATCAAATTTAAATCAAATTTAAATCAAATTTAAATCAAATTTAAATCAAATTTAAATCAAATTTAAATCAAATTTAAATCAAATTTAAATCAAATTTAAATCAAATTTAAATCAAATTTAAATCAAATTTAAATCAAATTTAAATCAAATTTAAATCAAATTTAAATCAAATTTAAATCAAATTTAAATCAAATTTAAATCAAATTTAAATCAAATTTAAATCAAATTTAAATCAAATTTAAATCAAATTTAAATCAAATTTAAATCAAATTTAAATCAAATTTAAATCAAATTTAAATCAAATTTAAATCAAATTTAAATCAAATTTAAATCAAATTTAAATCAAATTTAAATCAAATTTAAATCAAATTTAAATCAAATTTAAATCAAATTTAAATCAAATTTAAATCAAATTTAAATCAAATTTAAATCAAATTTAAATCAAATTTAAACCAAATTAAATGTTTAGCAAGAATTAGATTTCTACCTTTAATTATTGTATGTGGCTATGCAATTTTGTGACTTACTGATAGGAAATCAGTTTTATTCATTCTATGTTTTCTTTTGAAAAAAAAAATATAAATAAAAATCGTTCTGTTTATACATTTTAACTTTACGCTATTATTTAATGGTATTTTTTACAGATTAAGTTAATTTTTTAAAGACAACTTATAAGACCTAGGCAACTTCTCATACATTTTCCCGTAAATACTGTTGCTTGCTAATATTTTATTATTGATTTTTATTGAATATACTTAGTTTTTTTTAGTTTAAGCGATAAAAATATATAATAATAATAAATTAATGTTTCACTCATTTAACAAATCCATATACTTTTATTAAAACTAGCATATATACTTTTTAATTACGAATTCTGTTAAAAATTGTATTGTCAGTATAGGCAAAAAAAAGTCCATTAGTACAAAAAATGAATTGGCACTACTGTCACGCACGGAGCGAATAGGTAAGTAGCTAGGGCTGCTATATTTAGCTTTAGTAAAAATTAAAAACAATGTCTTCTACCATGGACGAAGATATCGTCATGGCCGGATCGAGTTACCGTACGCACAAGCCTAGCTTGAGTGTACCATTACACACATTTTATATTAAAAAGACGAATAAATGGTTTAAATGCAATGGCAACCAAGTGTCACGGTTTCGAATCCAAAGCGGATTTTTTTAAAATAAATTTCCATTTTTTGTTTTTGTTTTTACCACTCCGAATATATTCCTAAACTTCTATAATTTGTATTTTTGTTTCGTCAATTTAATCCAACAAAATCTTTTCTCAAAAAATGTTCAGTTCATCTCGTCATTCATTTAATTATGGAATAGCTTAGTGAAATATAATTTTTATTCCAGTTACCGAACGGGTGTTGTCTTGGAACGAACGACCATGGGAAATAATGAAACAACTGGGCAAAGACAGCATCCGACAAATGGAGTTAATGAGATTTTATTTACAACTCAAGCAGGATCCCCACGGACCAAATTTAGCATTATTTGTTGGAAATTTACCACCGAACCTTTCTGAACGAAATTATGAAAATATCCTTACCGATTTTTTAGGCAAAGGTACGGTTTCAGTTTAATTAAACGTTTGTATCGTTTTTGTACATTTTGGTGTGTTTCTAGAAAATAAATTCTCCAAGATTGGTCCCATTTATTACGAATACGGATCCATGGTGATCACTTATGAAGATTCAGAGAAGGCTGTGAGAGCACTGTATATCTTAAGAGAATCTAAATATGAAGATAAACAACCGTTACTTGGTAAGCATATTAGAAATAAACAGACTCAACACCTAAGAATCAACCGGAATTGGACTCTTATTATTAACGTATTTTTATTTTGTTTCAGTTATGCTCTTACCAAACATAGAACCTTCGATGATACCCCAAGGCGTACAACCGCTTTTGGTATTCGTTAACGTAAAATCCGGCGGCTGTCAAGGTTTAGAACTAATATCGAGTTTTAGAAAATTATTAAATCCCTATCAAGTTTTCGACCTCGATAACGGTGGTCCTTTACCAGGACTGTATGTATTTCGAAACATTCAAAACTACAAAATACTCGTTTGCGGTGGTGATGGTACCATCGGATGGGTTTTGCAATGTCTGGATAACGTCGGTCAAGATTCTCAGTGTTCTTCACCCGCTTGTGCCATAGTACCATTAGGAACAGGTAATACAATTAGTTTCAAACAGTAACATTTTTATAATGCAGGACATATTTATAATAGATTTTGAATGTAGGGGTTTTGGTGTTTCTCTGTACATTTAACTTTAACTTTTTTCCCAGACTATAGTTGTTATAGAAATAAAAATCCGGCTACAATTAACACCATTTAATCGAAATTATTTGAACTGTTATATCACAAAACGAAATATATACTATTTACATACTAATACGGCACACTGTAGAAAATGTTGCTCAAATTTCGGGGTTTTTAGAAATTATTTTGATAAATGTAATATGGCGGTCTGACGCCTCGGTTGAAAACACACTGTGTTAACAGCAGCAAAGCAAGTCCTTTGCTACTGAGAGACAGATCCATGGAGGAAGGATTATTAAGAGTTGCCGTTTCTTTGTTGAAATTTGGCAACATGTTTGCTTGCAGCGACCTGTGGGGGGGAGGAGTAGAACTAATCTTACTCTGTCGGTAATGTAGTTACCAGCAGTATTACCATCAACTCTTACTCTGTCGGCAATGCAGTTACCCGTAATTTTATATTTAATTTGAAAATTGGCGGGTTTTTTTAAAGGAGAATTTACTTTTGCAACTATTTTCTAACTAATACGAAATATAGCCATACAAAATTTTGGTATGGTATTTTTAGTGAAATAAAAAACATGTACGTGTAGCTAAAATATGTTCCTCTGGAGCCACTTTTTCAAAATTTAATCAAATTTTGATGGCAATAAATCGCAAAATTTTGTTTTTATAAAGATTTCAAAAATTTAGAAAATAATTAAATCAAATTTCGGAATAGTGGCTCCAGAAATACGGACATTTCACTTTTACCTGAAGGTACATATTCTTCATACACTAAAAAGTAAAATTAAACTATTTATGGCTCTATTTTGTATTGTTTAGAAAAAGATAATTGCTTAAGTAAATTTTCCTCTTAATTCTAATTAAAATTTTCCTTTTTTATTAGCTGTTTGTGACAATTATGAAATGCCCAATAAAAATGTAAAATTCTATGACAAATAATTATGAGGGATAAAATAAATATCATACAAAGTTTTATATAATTATATTTATTAAAAATTACCAAGAAAAATAAATAAAAAATATATCAATGAGATGGCAATACAAAAAATTATTTTTCAGGCACTTCACCCCCATACAAGCGAGCTTATGCGAAGCAAGAATGTCTATTATTATTATTTATTATTGCACTCTCGGACGTCTTATAAATGATTCTTTAAGAAAGTTACTCTAATATCACAAACATTACATTACTATTTCGGTACGTTAACTATCTTTGGCTAACAAAAATCAGAAATTGCACAACAAATTATTAATTTACTTGATATGAAAACTAATGCCTAAGTAAATAAATTTTTAAAATAAACAAAAAACAAAACAACAAATTCTTCTTGAATCTTAGGAAATAAGACAAAAGCAACTATCCATATAAACTGAAACAGAAAAAAATTAAATGCAGTAACTTCAAATCATTTTGTTTGTCTTTAAGACATTGCAGCAGCCCTCATACTATCATTATAATACTTTCTTATTATTAATACTACATAAGTTTTAACTAAATGAGAAAAGACGTCTGTTTTATGTTATTTATATGTAAACCAGAGACGGCTCGTGGCCTAGTCTGCGAGGAGGCTGGCTCACCCTATATACTTTATACAAATATATATTTCTATTAGAATACAATGTAATATTTCTGCTTTTTGTATTCTTATAGATATATATTTTTATTAAGTATATAGGGTGTGCCTTTTAAAAGTAGTCTCCTCATAGACTAGGCCACGAGTCGCCTCTGATGTAAACCATTTAAAATCAACATGGTCTGGCAAAAAAGTCAAATTTTTTGAATTATGTTGTCAATATGACCCAAAAGTGGTAAAACTATTTCATGAATTTTTGAAAGAAAATAAATAACATTTCTTTGTACATAAATAAAACGTCTTTTATCATAATTTTCTTTAAAATAAGTAAAAGTTACGATGGTCTTCTAACATGTCTGTAAATTCACTGTACACTCTTTGGAGTCAAAACTATTAAGTTTCTTAAAAACCCTGCAACATAACTAATGGTCTGACTCAAATTCTGTTTCATTTATTAATTTTGTATATATTATTAAAATGAACTTTATCTTCACAGGACTCTGTTTGGAGGTGTGATAACAATATTACTAAGTACTACTATCTTTGGTGTATCTGGTTTTGAGGATGCTAAAGCAAGGCAAAGCAAATCTTTTAGCAGTCTTGAACGATTTGTGTTTGTAAACGATTTTGTATCAAAATATGATTTTCACATAATGTATAATGATTGGTTGTAAGTGGAATGAGTGGAATGTTTAAAATACGACTCCGTTCCTTTCTTTGATCAATATCAGAAGGAAATTTATAAATGTTTGTTCTTAAAATTTACGTTTGAAATGGGCCTTATAAAATGTACTATAACAATTAGAAATTATGCGTTTATAATTAATTCTGCCTGGTAAAGACATGTTAAAGCATCAAAATACCTTTACTTGATTTTAAATAATCCTAAATAACTTATATCTAAAAAAATAAATAAAAGTAGTTCCACTCACATGTTTCCATCGACAACCAAAACCATAACATAACCACTCATTTGTTTGATTTTGATGTTATTTGTTGACAGCGCGCGCGGGGCCCGCTATAGCGGGCAGCCAGCAGTCATGCAGCGGACAGAAAGCCATCTTCACATAGTACAAATAACTAAGTGAAGGCATGTTTTTTTTTTAGTTTGTTGTAATACATGAATTAAAATTTTTGAAACAACACTTTTTGTGTGTTACTGAACGAGATGTTATTAAATTAATCAATGTGCTTTACATTTTAATACAATTTTGTTGTTGTAAAACGGACTTCAGAGCACCCAAGCGCGGAGTTGCATGCGCAGAAACGTGTTTACGTATTGTGCAGATGATATAAACCCCCGTGGACAGATCTATTCTGAAACTCATTAGCGGTTAAATTGGCGGGTTACGAAGCGTCGTTTACTTGATACGTCTGCCCAATAGATTTTAAAATAAGTGTTCACATGACTTGTGATATAGACTGTGGATTGCGTAATGACTTCGAGATGTCCAAGCGTGCCAGAGTTGGACTGAGAATATTGTCCCAGCAAACCATTCGGTAACATGTTCCCTCCTGTCACATAACTAAGAAGGATAAAATATACTTAGACTGTCTTGTATGCACTTTGATGTGTTATTTATGGAACCGAACACCTAAGTTCAAACTTAGCACGATAGTTATATACCATGTATATAATTATAATATATATTACAAAAATTACATATCTGTTATATAAATTTCCTCACATAAAGATTATATCAATTTATATATCTATATGTAATCTACATTAAAGTAACAATTTGTACTAAATTATTTCGTACAAAATGTTATATAGCGTATATATACATAAATGCTGTTGACCAAACGGTCCTTGAAATACGCATGTTTTTTAGGTAGGTAAGTAGGTATATCTGGTGCATTATTTTTAGTAGCGTTTCAATGGTTAATGGCGGCTATAGGCGTTTTATGGAGGTACCTGTGGCATTTTTGTTTTTTTGTGAACAATAGCAGGTATGTTGTGTTTTTATAATGGAATTGAGTTATTATACGTGTGTGCTGTATTTCGATGATACATTTGAGTTGTAAATATTAATTTTTGTTCTCTTTTCAGGCCATGCTTTATGAGGCCCTGAATTTTGAGGTCGTGGATCGTCGTTAATGGCAGATATTTTGTGATTTTTATGATGAATTTGGGTTATATTTGTGTGCAATATTTTTATAATACATTTTTGGTATCAGTTATGAATTTGACCAATAAAATTATTGATATACCTAACAAATACGTTTAAATTACTTTTCTTTATCCACCAAATATTTTCGACTTTTTTTTTGTAAGTATTTGTCATACAGTGTCTACTTAAGTTGGAACCAAATGGAAAACTTTTTTATTATTGGTGTTGTGAAAAAATATATTCTTGATAAAAAATTCTGCATGGTCCAAAACTTAAAATGCAACCATCAGATATCAATTTTTTAAGCACTATACGAGGTTTGCCAAAAATATTAATTTTACTCAAGATTAAAGTACCTTTATATTTTACAATATAGAAGAATGTTATGAAGTAAAGTTAACCTGAATTTTCATGCTAAATGACTGTAATTGTATATTTGAATATAACTTTTAATTCAAAATAACTTTACTTTATAATGTTCTTCTGTATTGTAAAAAATAAAGGTACTTTACTCTTGAGTAAAATTCATATTTTTAGACAAACCTCGTAAACAGCTTAAATAAATTAATATCTGATGATTGCATTTTAAGTTTTGGACCATGCAGAACTTTTTATCACGAATACATTTTTTCACAACACCAATAATAAAAAAGTTTTCCATTTGGTTCCAACTTAAGTAGACATACTGTATAACTAATACCTACATTTTGAAACGACACATTTACATACCTTCATTTATATAACATTTATAATATTCATGTTACATGAAAAAAGTAATGTATATGTTCTGTAATAATGAAGCATATATTAAATGTTACAATGGTAATATAAATGTTACATGTCTTTTGATATATAACATTGTTCCTTACATGTACTTAACACATTACATCATATTATATAAGAAACCTGCTATATAACAAAATTAGGTAATTTTTCACAGTAATCACGTGAGTTATTATGTAACATGTAAGTTACTTTGTTATGTAACACGGAACTAGTACATGTAAATGATACATAAAAGTTACATGTTTGTGTTTGCTGGGGTTGTTTTATGTTTTATTATGTTGAATGCTTCAACAATAGGAATATTTAAAACAATTACTCTATTTTTCGACATAATCTCCCACTGCTATCGTTGTAAAACAAGTTCTTGCTACATAAATTAATTCTAAAAACAATATGGACGTACAGAATAGAACTGTGGTATTGCAGCAAACC